TTATTTTTGGGACAGAGAGAGCATGAACGGGCGAGGGGCAGAGAGAGAGGGAGACACAGAATCGGAAACAGGCTCCAGGCTCTGAGCCATCAGCCCAGAGCCTGACGCGGGGCTCGAACTCACAGAACGCGAGATCGTGACCTGGCTGAAGTCGGACGCTTAACCGACTGCGCCACCCAGGCGCCCCTAGAAGTTTTTAATACTGCATATGTTTTGAAGCTATGTTGTTAGATAACATAGAATGTTCAGGGCAATTACATCTTTTTGGGAAACTGTATCTGTTATTAATATGAAATATCCCTTTTTGACCTCGTTAATGCATTTTCCCTTAAATTCTATTTCATCTGATACTAGCAGTACTATGACTTGCTTTTTCATTTGTGTGGAATATTTTTCTCCACATTTCTAATTTCAAGGTTGCTTTTTTCTTTAGAACTATCTCACACAGACATACAGCTAAGAGCTGTGTTTTATTTTTAAAAGTCTGGGATTCTACTACAAGGGGAATTCAACCCAGTCACCTTTACCTATTACCTATACTTATTCCTGTCATCACATACTTTATTTATTTATGATACTTCCTTGTTTTCTCCGCCTTCGGTTGGAATGATTAACTTCTAATTTTTTAGTCTCATGATTTACATTAAATGTCCTATTTGCAGTTATTCTTCATACATTTCAGATTATGCTTCTCTAAACAAGTATAGAGCTAATCTATATCTTAATCGTTTTCCTGAAAAAGAATCCTAATACTTCACTTCTTTTTCTTCTGCCTCCCATTTTAAGCTGACATATTTAAAGATGAACATCATAGATCAGAAACTATGAGGCTCAACATTTTACTGCACATGTGTGTACTGTAAAGCTCTCCACTGTTTCTTTACCTCAATACTGTGTCTTCATGACATGCCTTTCCCTTCTTTGGTCCCTACCTACTCCCCCCTTTTCGGGCTCAGGAGTACTTCCATAAATAATTCTTTCAAAGAAGATCTGTAACAGTCCAAAAAGGTAAATCACTGTAGGTCCAAAAATGTTTTTATTTTCTGCTCACATTGAATTGCTGATTTGTCTGAATATAGAATTATGGGCTCAAATAAAATTTTTCCCACAACTTCAAAACTACTGCATTTTATCTTGTATGACTTGTTTTTCCCTATAATAGGACTGCTTCTTTTCTTTGGAAGTGAATTGTGTGCTCTCTGGAAGCTTTTAGTCAGTTCCTCCTTTATCACTAGCATTCTGTAATTTCATATGAAGGTGTCTGAGTGTAGGTCTTCAGTTATTCTTTTATTCAGTACTCACTGGGCTTTTTAAAGACTTGTCTGTCATCAGTCTGGAGAAATTTCCTCCTATCATTTCTGTGAGTTTAACTCTCTTCCATTGTCTTTATTTGAATTTTCTGGAAGATGAATGCTGAAGCTTTAAAATGGCCTCAAAACAAAACAAAAATAGAAAAAAATAAAAATAAAATGGCCTCTATATATGACTTTTTGTTCATACTGTCCATCTTTCTCAGTTTAAGACTGCATTCTGAAGAATCTCTTAGCTCAATCTTTCAATTCATTAATTTCTTTCTAGCTGTGTCCACTTTATTCCATTTGTGTTGGTTTTTTTTTTTTTCTTGACAAGCGTATTTCTTAATGCTAAGATTGGTTTAATTCATTCTATCCTAGGTTTGTTTTATACATACAATAACCTCTCTTACCTCTCTGAATATTAATTTTAGTTATTTCAAAGTCTATTGCCTATTCATGGTTTGTTATTTTTTGCTTATTACATTTGGTGCTTCTTTTTGCTAAGATAGGTTTCCCTCAAATGTTTAGTGATTCTTAGTAGCAAAGTCATTTCAGAGTCTCCATTTGTCTGTGTGTGCTGTTTTTGTTTACCATCTCACGAACCGCGAGATCAAGCCCCACCGTCAGCGCAGAGCCTGCTTGGGATTCTCTCTCTCCCCCTTTCTCTGTCCCTCCCCTGCTTGCTCTAACTCTTTCTCTCTTTCTTTGATGCCAGTAGCTTATTAGCCTACCTGGGTTATCTAGCGTCTGGTGATAATGTAGGGAATGTGAGATATGATGCCTGGTGTCAGGCATATGTCAGGAGTTTGTCTTCCCAGCATGAGGCTCCTTGAGCTTCCTGACAATCAGAGGCTACCTGAGGGATCTCCCAGACTCTCTGTGGCCTCTGGATTATACCCAGTGCTTCAGCTTGGATTCATGGTATATGGAGGAAGGGCGTCAGTATGGGACTAGTCACTCTATATGCATTTCCTTATCTAATACTACAGGCCTCCTCCCCACTACTTGAACATGACTGGTTTGAGAACACTATTGATCTGTATATTTTGAGCTATCGCTCCATCAGGTTTTATTTTTCCATGGATTTGCTTCCTCATGCTTAAGACCTTTCAGGAATTCCTGAAATTTCCATCCACCAACCCTTTCTTCTTTTCCCATGTTATCAATTTATTCATGTAAATACATGTTTATATGGATACCAATAAACATGTTCACCTTCTCTGTCATCTTATGGAAGGTCGAGCTGTGGATATGACAGTGGTAGTGGTAGTGTAGTTAAAGGATATCATAAGATATGACAGTTTACCATCTTGATCACTTTTTCAGTGTCATTATTTGCTGAGAAGCATGTATTCCAATGTTAACATGACCGTTCCTCTAAATCTCAGACTTGTATATACAACTTCTATTTGCCATCTCTTAGATTTCTTACAGGCATCTCAAACTTAACGCATCCAAAATTGAATTACTCATCTTATCCCCACCAAATCTGTTCTAGTCAGGCGTCATCCACATACCAGGACCCTTGGAGCAAATTCTGGATAATACCCTTTCCTCCAATTATTACCAAGTAGTCCCTGCAAGAGATTTAACTTCTTTCCATGTCTACTGCTATTAACTTTGTCCAAGCCACATCATCTCTCACCTGAGCTATATAAGTCTCTGAACTGGTCTTAACTGCTTCTCCTCTTCCCTTCTAAGGCATTCTCCCCAGATTAGCCAGAGCCAATGTTTAAAAACACAAATCTGATCATATCATTCCCTTGCATAAAGCTCTACCATTACTTCTCACTGCTATTAGAATGAATTCCAAACTCTTTCATGTTAAATGCTATATATCTGAAGAATCTGGAGGCTAGGTCTCTGCTATTTATTAAAGACTTTTTTGATGCCAATAGTTTATTAGCCTGCCTGGGTTCTATGAGCTTGACTGTTCTTTGTTCTACTACCTTGCTGAGGCATTCCACAACTTCATCTTGAACTAATATAGCCACAATTCCTCTTAACTACAATGCCTATATAATAAAATTGCTTAGTTGTACTCTTTAGATACTAGGCATTTCTATCTATCTAAAGCTAGGTCTGTCCTTTCAGCAACAATCCTTCCCAAATGAACAAGTCAAAGGTCTAGATGCTTCTTAGTCTAACTTGCTATAAAATGGGAATACTCTGAGGCACCTGGGTGGCTCAGTCGGTTAAGCCTCCAACTCTTGATTTCAACTCAGGTCATGATCTCACAGTTCGTTGGATCAAGTTCTACTGTCAGCAGAGAGCCTGCTTGGAATTCTCTCTCTCCCCCTTTCTCTGCCCCTCCCCTGCTTGCTCCAGCTTACTCGCTCTTTCTCTCTCTCACTCTCATAATAAACAAACATTAAGAAAAATGGGGGGCACCTGGGTGGCTCAGTAGGTTAAGCATCTGACTCTCGGTTTCAGCTCAGGTCATGATCTCACGGTTTTGTGAGTTCAAGCCCCATATAGGGCTCCAAGCTAACAGTGCAGAGCCTACTTGGGATTCTCTGTCTTCCTCTCTCTCTCTCTCTTGCTCTCACTCTCGCTCTCACTCTCTCTGCCCCTCCCCCACTTATGCTATCTCTGTCTCTCTCAAAATAAGTAAATAAACTTAAAAAATTTTTAAAGAAAGAAAGAAAGAAGGAAAGAGAAAGAAAGAAAGAAAGAAAGAAAGAAAGAAAGAAAGAAAGAAAAGAAAAGAAAAGAAAAGAAAAGAAAAGAAAAGAAAAGAAAAGAAAAGAAAAGAAAAGAAAAATGGGAATACTCCCAGAGGGCACCTAGCTGGCCCAGTCAATAAAATGGGAAAACTCCCAGTTAAGTCTAGTATATTAGTTCAGGCTTTGCCAATGTGTGATTCTGAATAAAAATCTTAACTACTGTAGGGCACAGCTTCCTTTTCTGTCAAATAATTTCTAAAATCTCTTCCATTTCTAGTGGTCACAGATTCCGTGCTCTAATACATTTCCTTAGAGAAAAGTATAGAACGTATCATTCAGCTCCCATGGCAATTACACAGAAGATAACATTGATTTCAGGTTTAGAAAAGACTTGCATTGAAGAGAAAAATAATTCAACTCAAGGTTTCTAAAGATAAGCTACCATGGATTCACTTTGCGAAGATTTAGTGTCGGCCTTGATTGCCCAATGAACACATACGACCTCAAGAACTGAAAATACAGTAACAACAAGAAGCACCACTACCACGACTGCTACACAGTAACAATTGAAAAGCTTTAGCTCATCCTGGGTAATGGCTAAAAATTAATTATAATAATCAAATAGGAACAGAAAAAAGAAAGAAGGCACAGTAAGTACCAAAGGCTTCTTCCTCAAAGATCAATAAAGATCAATATTTCATACTGGTTTACACAAAGAGCCAACATATTCACCTTGCTTCATATCCTCTCCTTTTTTATAATAATGGTAAAAGGAGAGACTCTCTGGATTAAGTTACTAGCTGGAGCTAATGTTTTAATAATCTTTAAATCGGACTACAGTCAATTCTAAATCTTGATCCAAACCATAAACACCAGAAAAAAAGTTCCCTCCTTCCCTAATAACATAACTCCTAACTACCTTCCCATAAACTGTAAAACCTTTGGAAGTGGGAATCTATTTCCACTGACACCTAATTACGGTGCCAAGTTTGCATACTATTGATGGGTTTCATAAAGTAAATGACCCACACTGCTTTACCTGGTACATTCCGACTCCAATGTGCTTCGGCTCAATTTTCACCAGCTCAGCTAATGGGTCTTGTACACGCCTTGCTATGGAAACTGAAAAAACAGAAAATAAGTATGGCTTAATGTGAAAAGCAGTATCCAGATAATTACATATGTTACTTCCTCATAATGCAAGTATTTAATTCCTTCCCTCTTCTCCCGCACAAGGAGACCAGCAATTTAAGTTTCGAAGTATCTTTTTTTTTTTTCACACAAAAAAAGTAAAGGCAAAATTTCAGGATTAATTTTGTTACCAGAATCCCTAGGCATTTCTGAGCACAAACAGGCTGAAAGGGTTATACATTTGGAAAAACACAGAAAATAGTTACTATGTGTACACAATTATCTGTTCATTCTTTGAACACAGCATAGTAGGGCACCTCACGCTTTAACAAGCTTTAACAAACAAGTATATATATATTTGTTTTACTTTTAAATAATCCTGATTATGACATACATTTGCACATCAAATATGTTACTAGGACAAGATCCTGATAATGATGAGTAACTGACGGAATCATATTTTACTGCAACCAGAGACCACGTCAGTTGCTTGTTGAACACGCTTGTACTGCCTTAAATACGATTGCAAGTTTGACTGTGATCCGAGTCTCAAATGCTTGACTCTTAACACATTCACAGTTCTAAATCACAACCCTTTCTTGAACATCACAATCCATGTTCAAGAGATTTGAGTTAGCTTCAAACATTCCTTTATCTGTTGTCATGGTTTTATACTTGGTCATCATTTATTGTCTTTTTTTTTTTTTTTACAAAATGTTAACAAAATTTCATATCTAATTTAGATTAAAAGATAGATTTAGCTGGAGAAAAGAAATGTAATATGAATACTAAGGATGCCTACAAAGATAGCTCTTTTTTTTTTCTTTTCCCCAGTAATATAGTTACATTGGGTCCTTACCTACAAACAGCTTTCTTCTAAATTCAAGAAAGCTAGTCAGTGTCATCTACTTACACAGACGGTTGGATGAAATACAAACTCAGTTAGTGAAAACATGAAGGCCATCAGAGGAGATCCCATGCCTGTTCTTGTGTTAAACTGTTCAAGGTCTGGCAACAGAAGCCACCTCATGCAAGGGACTATCATGTTCTCTTGTCACTGATTTGTACCATCTCTTCACCAGAGATAAGACCTACTCTGAGCATCAAGTTCACTGCATGGTCACTCAAGTCTTTTTCATATCTTTATTATTACTTCTAACATACAGTGACAATGGCAGCTTACAAAGCTAGCAGACAGCGATAAGCTGGTGTCATATAATCTGCCTATTTCCCCACCAAAGAGATGGGAACTCCAAGGCCTTCACATACACTTTCTTTTCAAACCTCACAAAAGGTTAATAATGAGTGCAAGCACTGCAGGTTACAGGGGAAATGCCTCCCCCCAGTAATCACACGTATAATTACACAGTAAGAATAGATGCCACCAGGGAAACATCTCATAGTCTCTGAAAGCAAGCAGCATTCTTTTATTCTAGCCAATAAGACTGATTTTCAAACACATACATAGTCAAAATACTTTCAGATTTAAAACAAAAAACAAACAAACAAGAACCCACAACAGTAAACCAAGTGAAAAAATACAGGCATCAGAACATTCATTGCAGGAAGGCAATATTAGAAAAAAAAAAAAAAAAAAAAAAAAAAAAAAAAAAAAAAGACATTAAATAAGTAAATCTCTCAAATCTACCCCTTCAGGAAAGCCCACATTATGAAAATCTAAACTTAGAAACTGGTTAGACAGTTGTATAAGTTGTTAAGTGTGAGCAGATTTCCATATTTTAAAAAGTTTTTCAATACACAAAAGGGTTTTAACTTATTTTCGACCTGGTTCCTCCCTAACTGGTTCACTGCTAGCATCTCCTCTGTTCATCCTGATATTGCTAAATGCAGCAACAATAAACTGGACATGACAGTTCTCCAGTACGTCCTAAGAGCCTCTGGAATTACAGTGTCCCCAATACACAACCTCTACATAGATCCTAGTATTTCCAGAATTGGTGTTTTGCTTTCAGATGCTACTCACTCTACAGAGCATAAAAACCCAAGCATGGGAGAGATGGGAGACAAGAGGAAAATGACCATTGTTCATTTGAAGGATGTTCATTGTTCTTGAAGGAGGTAACTTAAACATTGTTTGAAGTAGCACTGAAAAGTTGTATGTCCAGGCTTTCAAGAGAAGATAGTGCTGTCAGGGTACACAAGAAAGAAGTTATTTAATTAACAGTAATGCCTACCCGTAGGTTGAGAATGATCAGGCTGACAACAGATTCCTGAAGGTAAGAGACAGATAGGTAGCTCAGGCAAAGGGAATTATATAGAGTGCTGATAAAGAGAATGAAGAGAAAGGAAGAGTCATGGCCCAAAGGTTGGGGGCACATTCACACTGTGAGATAGAGAAGAAAAGGTTGACATAGTGAAAGAGACAGAGAATAAACAGGGAGGAAAGCATAGCAGTAGATAGAAAACAAAATTCTAGAAAATGTTTAACACAGAGTTACCATATGTCCCCCAATTTTTACTCGTAGGTGGTATACACTCAAGAAAAGTGAAAACATATGTCTACATAAAATGTTATTCATGAATGTTCATAGCAGCATCATTTATAACAGCCAAAAAAGTGAAAGCAACCCAAATATCTATCAACAGATGAACGAATGAACAAAATGTGATATACTCATACAATGGAAAGTTATTTGGCAATGGGAAGGAATGAAGTGCTGATACATGCTACAGCGTGAATGAACCTTGAAAATATTATGCTAAAGTGGAAGAAGCCATGTACAAAAGACCACGTGTTGTAATGATTCCATTTATATGAAATGTTGGCAATAGGCAAATCCATACAGACAGAAAGTAGATTCGTATTTATCAGAGGCTGGGGGGAAGAGGGCAAGGGGGACTGTTGCTAATGGGTGCTGGGTTTCTATTTGGGATGAAACTGTTCTACAGTTAGATAGAGGTGATGGCCGCACAATTCTGACTGTACTAAAACATACTGACTTATCCACTTTAAAAGGGCAAATTTGAGGCTGTGTAAGTTATATGTCAATGAAGTGGTTATGTATTTTTATTTCTTTTTAGGTTTATTTATTTATTTTGAGAGAGAGAGAGAGAAAGCACAAGTGGGGGAGGAAAAGAGAGAGAGGGAGAGAGAGAGAGAATCCTAAGCAGGCTTTGCCCTGCCAGAGCAGAGCCCGACGTGGGGCTTGAACTCATGAATCATGGGATCATGACCTGAGCTGAAATCAAGTCAGATGCTTAATCAACTGAGCCACCCAGGCACCCCTATATTTTTTTAAATGTAGTATATCCAAACATATGCCAAATACTATTTTGCCCACATGATGTCAATATATCTCTATATCACTGTTACTATTCACCATTGTTCAGGAAATTCTAGTCAACGCAACTGAACAAGAAAAGGAAGGTATAATTACTGAAGAGATAGAAACTAGATGATGATGATGACGACGATTTGCAGATGATGACGGACTACCTACAAACCCAAGCAAGTCAACTGAAAAAATATCAAAACTAGCAACATTTCAACTGGCTGGTTTTAAAAGACACCCAGACAATAACTAAGCAGTACCATATGCCATCAACAACCAATAAGAAAATACCACGGAGGACAATCCATTTACTGTGTTGTATATCGCCTGCGAGTAATAAAAATAAAGTGCACAGGGGCCGCTGGATGACTCAGTCGGTTAAACATCCAACTTTGACTCACGGTTTGTGAGTTTGAGCCCCACATCGGGCTCTGTGTCTGACAGCTCAGAGCCTGGAGCCTGCTTCTGTGTCTTCCCCTCTCTCTGCCCCTCCCCTGCTCATGCTCTGTGTCTCTCTGTCTCTCAATAATAAATAAATGTTAAAAAAAATTTTTTAAGTGTACAGAACGTAGATAAAAGTGCCAATTTAACAGAAAGAAGTTCACTTTATATTCTAGAGATTTAAAAATATTAATTAAATGGCTCTAATTTATATGGAAAAAAAGAAATGCATAAGAAAAGCACCATTAAGGGGCATCTTGGTGGCTCAGTTGGTTAAGCATCCGACTTCAGCTCAGGTCATGATCTCGTAGTTCTGAGTTCAAGCCGTGCATCAGTCTCTGTGCTGACAGCTCGGAGCCTGGAGCCTGCTTCCAATTCTGTGTGTGTGTGTGTCTCTCTCTCTTTCTCTGCCCCTCCCGCGCACGCGCGTCTGTTGTGTGTGTGTGTGTGTGTGTGTGTGTGTGTGTGTGTGTGTGTGCGCGCGCGCATGCACTCTCTCTCAAAAATAAATTTAAAAAAAAACATTAAAAAAAGAAAAGTGCCATTAAAAGAAGATTAAAGCAAATCACGTCATAAGCCACAGTAATTGAGAGCTTCTTGCATTGTGGCACATTAGACAGACCAATGAAAAGATGACAAAAAGGATACATAGGAATTTAGTCTTTAATATATGGTAACTTGTTAAATGGGAAAAATGTAACTCGATGTGTAAAGGGAGACAACTCAACTGCTACTGAGACAAAATTAAGCATTAGAGGGAAAAATTCTGTTAGTTACACCAAAAAGAGGGGCAGGGAGCACAGACTGAGTGCTAAAGGTAAGCAACCAGAGCTTCGGCATGTGGTTAGGCAGGATGTACAGTGTACAACCTGCACCACTGTATGTAGCACCCTTGAAAGCACTGTTTCCCTCTCCTTCATAATATGCCTTCTATCTGAAGGATAAAAAGGTATGGGTTTTGGTCTTCAGTTCTATGAAATATCTAGAATCTTAAAGCTTCTAAAGCAAATAAACTTCCTGCTTAAAAGACTGTAATAACTGTATTCTCCTAAATCTGCCTTATTCTGGGGGTGCCTGGGTGGCTTGGTTGGTTGAGCATCCAATTCTTGATTTTGGTTCAGGTCATGATCTAAAGGTTAGTGAGATTTAAAATAATTTGCCTTATTCTGTTATCTAAAAATATGACATATTCTGTTATCTAAGAATATCAAAGTGGAAATTTTTATTTCTAAAGTCCAACACTCACCTCATTTTAAATTTCCCCTTGCCATCAGACAGCAACAGAGGAAGGTAAGTAAAATTTCCCAGTGCTGTCTTTTTTTCATTCAACAACTCCAAATAAGAATTTTTTTCATTATAAAGCTTATTAATGATCTTGATCCCCTAATTAATAACTACATTTCTGAACAAGAAGCTGACAAATCTGTTGACCTGATAAAAATATTCTTTATCTTGATTGTGGTGTCAGTGGTTGTGGTTACCCGACTAGTTTAAGCTTTTCAAAATGCATAGACAGGGGCGCCTGGGTGGCGCAGTCGGTTAAGCGTCCGACTTCAGCCAGGTCACGATCTCGCGGTCTGTGAGTTCGAGCCCCGCGTCAGGCTCTGGGCTGATGGCTCAGAGCCTGGAGCCTGTTTCCGATTCTGTGTCTCCCTCTCTCTCTGCCCCTCCCCCGTTCATGCTCTGTCTCTCTCTGTCCCAAAAATAAATAAACGTTGAAAAAAAAAAAAATTAAAAAAAAAATTCAAAATGCATAGACAAATTCAAAAATTCACCTAAAAAGGGTGAATTTTATTTTATGTAAAGTTTATTTAAATGAATGAAATATCTTTCATTTCTCTAAGGATGTAAAAGTTTTTCTTCTTTTTCTAAAGTCTTTATTTCACCCAAGTGGCTTCTGTACTGTCCCCTCCCCCCCCCCACCATCTATCTTTAACAGTGTAAGTTTCCTTAAATGACAGGTGACCCTTGACTGTCCATCAGGAAGAGGGTACCAAAAAGCTGCCTCTAAGTGCTTTGCCTAAATGTGAAGTTTATCAGCTGTGGGCTTCATTATATGGTGATTTGGCCCATTTCTGTTTGTACCTCTGATCTCAGTTCTTTAGGTATTTTCTCTTGTCTAGGTGTCAGAATTCCCCTATCTCCTGCATGGAGGGCTTAGTGCTCTCCAAGATCTCTACATCAGCATGTAAGTAATTATTTAATCCCTTCTTCAGTAGGTATCCCAACTCTCATGTATAACCTGTGTTCTCCAGTATACAGACTTTCTGTTTAGCCCTCTCCAGAGAAACAAATCTCCGGTCTTCTGCAAAGGTGAAAGAACAATCACTTAACTGTGTGGAATGGAAGGTCTTTTTTTTTTAATTGAAGTGAAATTACGTAACATAAAATTAACCAATGAGTACAATTCAGTGGCATTTATTATACTTACACTGTTGTACAAACCACCACCTCTATCAAGTTCCAAAACAGTTTCAACGCCCCCCAAAGAAAACCCTGTACCCATTAAGCAGTCCCTCTTCATTTGCCCCTCTTCTCAGTGCCCGATGACAACCAATCAGCTTTCTGCTTTTATAGCTCAGCCTATTTTGTACATTTCATATAAATGCAACCATACAATATGTGGCATTTCGTGTTGGCTTCTTCTACTCAGCATGTTTCCAAGGTTCATCCATGTTGTGGCACATGTCAGTACTTCTTTTCTATGGCTAAAAATAATATCCCATTGTATGGATATACCACATTTTGTTTATCCATTCAGCCACAGATGGACTTTGGGTTGTTCCCAGCTTTAGGCTATTGTGAATAGTGCTGCTATAAGCACAGTGTACAAGTATTTTGTTTGAGTCCTTGTTTTCAACTTTGAGTATACACCTAGGAGTGGAATTGCTGGGTTTAACTTGGTCTAATTGCCCTTTAAACAAAACTTTCAATCAATCCTCTTACTTTAGACCCACCCACTGCCCTCACAAGATACTTCTAAAGGTAACCTGGTGAATTTCCTGAACCTATAAGGGTTCCATGACCACTTCAGGTTAGTTCTCTGTTTTCTACATGCTCTCTTAGTATTCAACTCTCTCAAGTTGGCTACCTTACTTCTTATTCAGTCATCTGCTTACCAGCTTCAAAATGATTGTTGCTGTTCTTTCCTCTCCATCCTCCTTGTCCTGAGTTTCTGCCTTCTTTCTGTCATGTTACTGTCATTTTGGTGGGAGTTCAGAAAGGAGTAAAGGAATAACAGGTATACTCAATCTTATTTTTTAAGTCAGAAATCTGTAATAAACATTTTAATATCACCTACCTACTATTCTATCTATCCAGTTGAAATGCCTCTCATGTATGATGAACTTATTATGGGAGACCATAAGCACATATAAGGATAACCTCTGCTTTCAATAGGCTGACAAACAGGTCAGAAGATGTAGTGATCGGAAGGTCATCTTACGTTATGTTTAACACTGTATGAATGTTAAGGTTCTGTTACGTTCAGACAGAGTAAACTTACAGAGGGTTAAAAAGTAAAACCCACACCCATAGGTAGCACAGGTCTCAAATGAAGTATAAAGTCATCCCTGGCATCAGTCACTAGGAAAGAGAAGGACCTCTGGTCAGAAGTCAGGAATTGAAAAGGTGGCGGCCCTAGAAAACCAAGAATGGAGACTCCGAGCTGCTTTCAGTATTTGCCTTCAGGACCACTCCTGGAAGACTCAATATGTCTAGGTAGATTTTTTCAGTTGATATGGATCAAACATAGTCACTGTCATACGAGAGCAAGCTGAATCACAGAAGGAAGGCATACCTGTGGTGAATCACACACTGAAGACACAGCCAGCCTTTGGAATCTGAGTAAGTAGGACCATGTAATGATTCCTCTTTTTATTATCTCCTATTTTCAGAGAGTCTTGTTGGGATGTTGTAATCCTGTCTCACCCACAACACTGTGACAATTACCCACGTAGGCCAGTGGTGAAGAGGAAACAGCAGCCCCCATAGCAGTGGGAGGTCTGAGAGACTGCCACTCCCCAGACGGTATTTCTCTCAAACGTTCTGTTAGAAGATTATCTTTCAGTGCCACCAACTTGGAAGGTTTTGAATTTTATTATTTAAGAAAGAAAAGTATCCTTTTATTATAGAAGTACATATATATATACTTATTCGTTATGTGGCCTCTTTAAGCCTTGGTTTCCTCATCTGTAAAGTGGGAATAATAAATGTCTCAAAGGGCAACTATGAGACTAAGGCAATTATTAGCAGTTCCCAATATGATTACTATATCTCCTCCTCCGACCGAGCACATGGCAAGGAGACAAAGCCCACACTGAACTGCTGTGACAGGGAAAAGTTTCACAGAAGGATCAAAATTTTGAGCTGGGATCTGAGTTTGAGAAGATGACCATGTTAGACAGGGGACTGTATCATGGAGCAAACAATCAAAGGGAAACTACAAGCTCTTTTGGATGTAAGTAGGCTTTTAGCCTCAGATTAATGCAAAAAATTTCAAATATGTATCTCCAGGTACATATTTCAAGAATAGCCAATGAAACTTGAAGAATAGCCAATGAAATTTTAAGTTAAAATTTTTTTCAAAAGTCCCTTTCTAACAACGTCTAAATTTCCAGCTATTACACAGAAAAATGTTCTGACCAGAGTTAACATTTTCCTTATAATACAAATTATTTTCACAGGACATATCAAGCTATCTTAATTTCTTCACACACAAGATTTTAACTATTCCACAAAACAGAAACCAAAGCAACTTAATGTGACTAAACTCAAAGCAGGCTGTTTTAAACATTAAATGAAACCGCATTAGCAAGACAAGAGAAACTGGTCATCTGACAAATATTTAGCAATAAACTATGCGTGTTTAATTTGCAATATAAATATATTTAGGTTAATATATTAATTTTGCCAATAAAAAGCTATAATAAATAATATTTTATAGTAATAATATGAGATCTTAGAGTATCTTATTAATTTTATTATTAACTTTCAAGCATTTAATTTTACTAAGGGCATTTTGGGCTAATTTCTAGTATTCTTCCTCTTCTGTTCCATAATTCTAATTATCCTAATCAACCACTTTCTTCCTAACATGCCAATTCTTACGTATATATCTTCTAAATGATTTTGGATAAATATTTTGCTTGCTTAAAACATAAGTCCAAAGTATCACAATCACATGCTTTTGTGATGGTTCATAGTTTCTTACCTGCACTTCTCAAATTAGGGTCCAGCCCCGGCATCTCTTTGTTAGCTTCAGGGCTGACACTGTAGATTGATGCCCCTGCTTCACTGACGATACTGAGAAGAAACAAAAGGGGGAATATAATTTTCCAAACTTTCTGCCTGGTCGAAGAAAATAAATGAATAAGACTGGGTATTATAAGAAAAAAAAAAACAAAACACCTGTTCTCTTTTTATTTCAGTGGTACCTATAGCATTTAATTTTTCATAAACATAAAGTGATCAAGTAATGTTTGTGTTCTGCACAGAGGAAATACAGAGGTTTATTATTTTTTAGGTTTATTTATTTTTTGAGAGAGAGAGAGAGAGACAGAGAGAGAGTGAGCGAGCAGGGGAAAGGCAGAGAGAAGGGGAAGAGAGAATCCAAAGCAGGTGCCAAGCTGTCAACGCAGAGCCCAATGCAGGGCTCGAATCCACAAACCATGAGATGGTGAGCTGAGTCAAAAAGCAAGAGTTAGATGCTTAACTGAGTCACCCAGGTGCCCCAGAAATACACAGGTTTAAATACATAATGAATTCATTCAGTTGTTTCCTGTCCATAGTAATCAAATAGATTATAGAAAAACACAATGGATACTCTCCCCTGATGCCAACTTCAAATTTCCAGAATACACTGAAATTCTCTTTATAATCCGCTGTTGACTGACACTTAATGACTCCCAACTGAGTTAACCATTCTAAAGCATCATGGAAAGCACATACACATGTGTGTGGATATGTACATACGTGGATATATACAAAAACCACTGCCATAGACACTTCCATTATTATTACTCAATTATAATGAACAACCACAATGTGAACAGGAAGGGGATCAGATGGGATATTATCCCACTTCTTTTCAGGAGAATCTAAAATCATCCTTCAGTAAACTTGAAGCCTTTGACCTCAGGCAGTTGGTCAAACCATTTCATTTCAGCATCTATTTAATCAAAGCATCCCATACATCATCCTCTTCCTTTCTTCTTTGCCTCCAAATACTTCATACACCACTCTTCTGCAGCTGACCTGTTTATGGTGGTTGACATCACTACAGTTCATTGAACATTTTTAAAATTAGAGGCATTTTTTTATGACAAAACACGCAAAGAAACATCATCTACCCTTAGAATTTACAAGACCTATACCTCTCTGCCGTGCCATCTCGGCATTAAGACTCAAAAGCAGAAACATATTAGCACTTAATTTTTAATCCACTATTAGAAACTTCTTCCCTTCTCTGTTCCTCAATATTTACTTCAATTATAAGACAAGTTTAGTGGATACCTTTTAAATATTGCCCCCTTTTAAGAGCTGAACACTGATAAAGAAAAGTGTGAAAAAGTTAGTTTGCTACCCCTTGTGTTTCAAGAACTCTTGACCGAACTTTGACAACAATTAAAAACCACCAAGATTTGAAGATTATTTTGGGGAATATGAAGATTTATATTTTTTTGCAACCAAGTCTACTGTCCTAAATTTCATAATAGGAAAAATGAACACGCTGCGATTGAAAAGCAGGGCTGTTTATCCTGTTCCTCATCAATACTACCCTCGGGATACAAAAGGAGGTAAATGAGTGTGTATTACAAAATTTGCTTTAACAGATAAGTAATATGCCCAAGGTCATTTGGAAGGTAAACTACTGAGGTGGATTTGAACCCTAATCTGCTTGAAACCCAAGAATGAGCTCTTAACCAGCAGAAAGAAGCACAAATAACTTCTGAATAGCTTTACAACCCCTCATTAAAATGAAAACCCATATTTTTGTACTAAACAATACATGTAATAATATCTTTTTAAAGAAGAACCATTTTCTTAAATAATGGATCCATAGGAGCACATTTCTCTCTTTCAATGCCTTCACTTCCAATCAAAAGGTAAAATGGGTTTTGTTTTCTGTGTCTAACAGAACCTAAAGCATGGAGAAGGTCAAATATGTTCTATGATTTCAGAGATGGACTTTAAAATGAAAAGGTAATTGTGCTTTTTCTTCAATATAAGAGTTAGATTCTGCTTATCTTCTACTATGTAATGATCAAGGAGAAAATGTAATGTCAAATAAAGCTTGAAGTGAAGAAAACTCTTAGTGTGGCATAAGAGGATGTTAAAACCAACATACTAGAAGGGATTTTTCAGTTTCATCATAGTGGTACTTAACCTTACCTGGGGCCCTTGGTCTTCTAGGCAAGGAAAAACAGGATTAATAAAAACTGTATACAAAATATTTGTGTTTATCCATTTTTTTTCTAGGAAAAGGGATTATAGTTTTCACTGATTACTTAAAGAAATCCACAACCCCAAAAGAGGTTAGGAAGCACCATCACAGTATAAGAATATTCAGACACTAGTCATGGAAAATCTGGTTTCAAACACAAATCAACAGTCTAACAAAGTTTTGTTTTGTTTTGTTTTTCCTAAAAAAACCTAGAGCATCCATGAAGTGCAGGCTGGACCTATTATTAAGGGAAAAGAATATTTTTTAAAATTTCACCACAGATTTATTTTCTATCATTTCAAGAAGGCTCCAAAATTACCACTATTAAGTAAAGGAGACTGAAGTGGTAAATACAAATTCCAATTAACTGTGGCCTTTAGCAACTTGGTACCTGAGAATTTTCTGGGTGATTCACTGTCTCTTGGAAGGTATAATTCTCAGTAGACTGAGGGAAACTGTTGCAAAGAAAAACACTCAGATAATAAATATTCCTCCAAATACCACACTGCCACTTCTTTTAAACAGAGGAATACAAAACAGATGTGACACACTGCACCAAAAGATTTTAGATTAACATTAAATCAATACAAAATGTAGTAAATTTCATATGCTTTAGTTATTACATAGCATGGGTCCAATAAACAGTTCAGTACTAAGCACAGATCAGAATGCTCCAATAATCTAAATGAACAGAAAAACCTCAACACTGACTTCTTCAATATAAAACACTGAAGGACCTAAGAAGTGTATGTGGCAAGAATTAAATGAAACAAATCAAGCTGGGAGTGGTGATGATTTTTTCCAGGAGAAGCTGAGAAGAACAAAAGTTATAATGACCCCACCCCAAATATCGTATTTGGATTTCAAGGATAGACATTCAGAGAGCATGCTAGATTTTATAAGCCACTTTCTGTGTATTGCAAGTTTCCCAATAAATTATTGGAAAAGTACTCCAATTATCTCTAATATATTTTGAAAAAAGCAAAAAGGAACTTTACATAAAATTCAGACAGCTCCTGATTTAATAAATATTATATTCCATAAAACAAATTTCTCTCAGGTGTAAAGAAACTGGACTCATAATCTTAGCAATTTGATTACTTTCTTTATTTTGCCATAAAGCAGACAAGACTTTGAGCAGAACTTAGTATTTGGGGGGAATTTAAATGAGAGAATTGTAAATGAACTAAGGGTTCAATATTATTATAGTGCTCTGAAGTTCCTTCAATGAAATTGCTGGTACATGTAAATACCTAAATATATATATATATGGCAAATATCTCAAGTGTTAAAAATAGGAAAGTACATTTCAGGAGCTACCACACTGGACTCACATTTTACCAGATATATATGATATATATGTTACTGTAATAATGCTCTGTAATTAAATAGGTATTTTTAAAAACACTTAATCAAACTCAGCATGATTTTAGGGTCTCTTTTATTTAAAAACATACAAACCATACACTCAAAACTAAAAACTGAAATGCCCACAACACAGATGCATTTATTCTTAAATTCATTTTTTTTAATTTTAATAAAAACTCTTTAAGTTAAAAATGCTAAATTTTATCTCAAGTAAAATCCAATATTACATAAATCTGACCATTTATCAATATAATTTTATTTTTTTTAAAACTAGGCTTAAACTACAGAATTTGTAAGTATCTTCTGCCAAAAGAGATTGTATGTTGATGAATCTTTTAAAACCCAGTTCTAAGTAGTTTTCTTAGAGTGACTATTCATTCTGACAATAAGAAAATGGCAATTTTCTTTTACGAAATTGAGATGGAGGGTGAGGATTCCTTTCATGAGACAGGGGAACTAGCCATTTGTTTTTTTAAGTTATTAGGCTAATAGTTTTCACATTCATTTACAAGGTTACATGATGTCTCCTCTCTTCTCCCCATTTCCCAAATATGAAAATAGCTTTGTTTTCTCTTATTTTAAATCACATGCCTCCTCACGTTAACAGGAGAATTTAATTCAAAGGTAATCTACTTAAATGAAAATGCAGTTATTTAGGAAGATATCAAAATCAGCCAGGATATATTGCTTAAATTAACAAAAACTGATGTGTTTTTAATTCTTTTCAAAAGTACATTGGAATTCCTCAAACCTTACTGTTAGCTAACAGCTTTCATATCTTCCTTCTGCCCACCAAAAAAATAATAATAATACACACTAACTACTAGGTTAAATGCACAGCTTATTTCACTACAGTTTTTAAAAATAATTGATCTAAAAACTCTTCTTCCAAATTTTCAGACTGAGAAACATTCATATGGAGAGAGAGTAAATGCTTTGAGCTAAGCTCCGCAACAAGTAATACATAGTACTAAAAAAGTTAGGCAACACAGACCTGGATTCTGTGCTCTGCACACAAGATAACCTGTTCTAAAGTATGAAAGGACGGCTGTTGTCCTTTAGGGATAGGAAACAAGGCCCAAACCAAAACCCCGTGAACACAAGGTGCTCTAGGATTTAATGGTTAAAGTACAAAGTTTATTTCTAGGACAATATCAAAGCAATTTTAAGTTCCTATATTTAGTGATGAACTGTCATTTCAGGGAGTTTCAAATGAGCAATGTCTAGTCACTTTAAAAACTAGGGTAACCTGGTGATGATAAGAAGTAAGGAAACAAGCAAAATCATAAACTGTTAAAGAGGTTTAAGCTGTAGAACTCTTCTGGATGGTATCCTGAAAATATAAATCAGAAGTTAAAAAAATATGCATCGTTTCTGAATCAGCTATTATATTTTTAAGAATTTATACAGGGGCGCCTGGGTGGCGCAGTCGGTTAAGCGTCCGACTTCAGCCAGGTCACGATCTCGCGGTCTCTGAGTTCGAGCCCCGCGT